GATTCTGCTGAGCCTTGTAGTTGCTACAAATATCTGGTGATCATGGAAGCAGCATAGTTTGTGGTAGTATCTCCTGCTTTCCTGATCTTTCATCATCCCAGTAATGTTCATTACTTGAGGTCTAATTGTTAGCAATGATGTAGCATCTCTCTAGAGGCTACAGATCCTACAGTCCTTCCATTAAGGTTATCATGCTCATCTTAGGCTGTGAAAGATGCATCTCTTTCTCCATCAGAGAAGTTTCAGCTAATGACTACTTAGACATGCATTGGTCCTGGCTTACACATTTACTGACCTAGTCGCAGCCTTTTATTCCAATTCTTAGCTGAAGCTAATGACTATGTCAGTGACTCTTCCTAATTTTGATAATAAGCATAGATTCTTGAAGGTCTTAAATCCATAATGAGTTCAGATTCATTACTTAACATCAGCCTGAACCCTAAACATAAGTTTAAATTCCCCATTGCCAGCCTCAGAAGTGTGATTGGCAATGTGATCAACACCTAAAACCTTGAATTAGTCTCAGTCATTTCTTCTAGACCTGACTTTAACCTAAACAGCTTATCTCCCTTCATTTCCAAATGTAAATTTCAAATTAATTTAAAGTCTACTCTAATGACTAGACCTTGAAGGAATCACAACTAGATCATCTGGTCTTACACTAAATTTTGCATAAACTCAACAATCCCTCCTAAATGCAGAAACAACTCACTTCTACCTGTTCCTGCCTACATAAATCCTAATTATAATTCTGACTACAGTATAAACCTATATTGTTCTCCCTACATTCTGTTTTATCTAGAACTAAGCATATTTTGTGGGTCCCTATAAGCAGCAGCATTAAGCACTAAGCTTGATGGCCACTTCTAAATCCAGTACTGCCTTGTGGTCTCAGTTTCGTGTTGACCCAACCCCTGAAGCTAACTGTAATGCCAAAGCGAACTCAGATTTAAGCTCCATCCTGAGTACATCACAAAAAAGAAAGCACCAAACTTTCATGGATTAACTACATTAAGTTAAATACACCATGAAGACCCTCCTGGTAAGAGCCATAAACCAAGCTCAGACATTATGCAGGCTCATCCAATATAGTATCCTGAATCCAAGCCCATAATTGTAGCTATTCCCACATCCTACAGAGTTCATCATAAAAACTAGACCTGTGGCCTGTTTCTGACAGGCAATTTAGTATACTTTTCTGGCCCTTGTTTGAAACAGTCAAAAGGCCCATACTAACCAGCCTTGCCTAAATTCCATCCCTAGGCTAATATCACATTTAATCCAAACCCTAAAGCTAGGTTAGTGATTCCAATTAAACCACAGTCCAAAACTATTCATACAAGAGGCTGTTACTTACAACCTGGGACACATAAACCCTAAACCAAACTCTAAACTCTCTTCACAGTTATCAAAATCAGGTAAGGCTTCCTGCATCAAGTAGATCTAAATACTGACAGGAAATCTCAACTCTGATCTTAGCTTGGTGGCCCCTTTCATTTTAGCTCAGTAGTATTGGCTGCAGTGTGACTCCCAGTGTGTAGCAGTATGTCTTTGTGCCGAAGTATGGCATTAATGACATCTATTTTTTCTTTAGTATCAAATACCTCTTTTCCAAGAGTGACAATGTTTCTACAGTTTTTCTTCAAGTGCTCTAAGAAGCACACTTGAGGTGTTTTTTTGTCACTGTTTTTTGCTCCATAAACCTAAAGTCCACTCGGTCCTGATCCCACAATGAGAAAAGGAGTACTGTGCTGTATCATAGAATACATCTTTTCCTATTCCAATATACCTTATAACAGTCTTCCCTAAGTATAAGACTCTGCTAAATGGCTCTGCTAATGAAGCAGTGCAGACTTCCTTCCTCTCTGTGACCACTGATACACAAGATGGAGACAGGTGGTAGGATGCTGGTCTGACCAGTAAGATGCATTTGGCATGTGGGATGATAGAATAATACGATTACTTTCTGTAAGTTTTTTCCTTGGGTTTTCACTACATGTTCAAAGGTAAAGGCTGACTTTCTCACTAATTTTGAGTTTGGAGCAAAATTCCCATGGTCCCAATTACATCCAGAATCATAGGACAGCACTTTTCTTCCAGCACAAATTTGGCACTGCTAGGCATGGGCTCATGGAACACAAGAGAGTTGGTTCTTTTCCAGATTGCTTCATCTTGGTTGATATAATTTGTACTGGAATCAGTTTTACTTTAGAAGTGGAAGCAGATTTGACCTCATCATCCATCTCTTTTGCATTTCCTCTCACTAATTCAAATTCACCGATATTGGCAAATAGATCAAAAGGATTTAACCTTGATCTTCTCTTCTCAGAAAAAAAAACCCAGCTTTTTTTTTTTTCCCTTTAGGTAATATTCATTTAACACTGATTGTAGTACATATATGCATTTTTTATCACAAATTTTCTGGCATGCATGTATTAAAACAATATATTAATGCAACCACAAAAATGCTGGTGAACAGAGTGATACAAGACCACCAAGCAGTGACTCCACTTATTCTTCGTATTACTTACTGTAGTACTGGTATGCTACCAAAGGCAGAAATCTTCCCATGGGCTATTCACAACAGCTAAGAGCTATTTCATTTCCCACAGATAAAACTTGCTGAATTCATCAAACCATATATTTGACCAAACTAATGGGTCATAAAATGGAAATTTCTCATTTGGTTTTGCTAATTACAGTTATGATGGGTTTGTTTTGTTCTGCAGCACTATGAGAGAATTATCTCAACTGGCTATTTGAATATTAGAATATTTTTTTATTGCTCTGTGCTATTGATAATCAACTGCAATTTACAACAGCATGATGCTGCATGCTACTCTGTGTTCTGCAGCCATCAGGAGAATCTGGATATTTAATGACATATGATTGTTTCTTATCTCAGATAAAGTGCAGCTACAGTAATTTATGGAAAAAATACTCCAACAAACCCGGGTGCAAAATGTCTCACACACATACACAAAAAAAGAAAATTACTGGAAATGATGCATATAGATCCCATATAAGTCACTATGTACCATGAACTGTTGTTTTTATGTAAGGCCTAATGGACTAAGACCCTGTCTGCCAGTGATTGCCCACTGCCTCTAAAGTCTTCATATTGCTCTCACATGCATTGAACAATCTGGAGGCTTGGAGCTGAAGTATTTGTGCCATGCCATTTGTTAGCAGAGGGAGACAAGCATTTCAGGATAGTGGCATATCCCTTCCTCTAGTGACCTATCCTTTACTTTTGTACTCTCCTTCCCCATCTCATCTCACCTGGAATGGGAGTGATACCCTCTCTCTTCACTGAGTATAGAGGTGACCTGCTTAGATAGGGAACCTGACTTTTATTGGTTTAATTTTAGGGGAAAATATATCCTGTTCTGAACAGTCATGAAGAAACGACTCTTTTGCAGTACTTTCTTCAAAGCCATGTCCAAATCTTTGTTTAAACAACCTGTATTGCCACTACATGTCATTGTGAACTTGTATAGAAACCAAAGCTTTCTTGCACCATTATGGCATCTTTGATCACAGCATTAGTGTTCATCCCGAATTAGGAAACAATTGAGCTAAAATCTTCCACATCTCAATTACTGAAGTATGGTGTCTCATTTCTACATAAAATGTTTCTTATCAGGAATTATTCAGGAGATAGTCCAGTCAGCTTTTTATCAATTTTCTGCTGCAGACAGAGATCTCCTTATAGAAAATACTAGATAAAGTCATACAGGATTAGAAAGAAACCATCATGATATCATCCATTTTCTTCCACCAAAAATGCACTACTATCCAATTCTACAATATCCAGCATATATTCAGTGGACTGAATGGGAACATGGGCATCAAATACCCTCAGAAGACTGGATTTAAATCCAAAGCTGAATCTGATGTTGGGACAATTGGATTATAAAATGACACCTGTTATTTCGTGAATGTGCAGCAAGAAGCTTGTTTTGCACACACATTCTCTTCTCTGTCCTCTGCAATCCCATTACTGAATATTCCTAACCTGACTTCTCCAGAAACACACAAAAATGCATGTTTGTGTACAGTTTGTCATTGCACTTGTAAGATTTCTTTGTTTATTTAAAATAGCTATCTGGAAGGTTACAATATTTTTAAACGATCTTTATTACTTTTGGTCTAAGTATACACAATTTTCCTAAACTCATGAAAGCTGATGAACATATTTTTGTGGATTTCCACCAGTGGAAATTTTGGGCTCATACCACAAGTAATTTTGAAATCCCATGACATTTTGTGGCATAGTTTCTTTTCCTTCTACCACAGTAGCAGACTACTGCAATGAGTTAGCTTATGATACTTGCATGTTTTGTTGGTTTTATTTTAAGAGGAAGAGAAATAAAATCCCCATAATATGTTTTATTTAATTCCTGAGGACTTTCACTTACACAAGTAGGCACTAAACATTTGAAATTGACTTTCTGGAGCACAACAGTAAAAAACTTAAGAATTTGGCTTATTTTCATTTAAAACAGTAAAAATTGACCTTGTAAACATTTCCATAGGAGGTAGGATACATACATTTGACAATCTGTCAAATACAAGAAAGTAAACAGTTACTCTGTAGTCCTAATAAATAATGAGCAACACAGGCATCAAATAAACATTTTTTATAAAAAAAAGAAATATAACTGAAAGACTAAAATAGGATTTTTAATAAATTAGGAATAGATGCATTAGTTTCTTTACAACTTAGTCTTGCGTGCAAGAATCACTGGCTCTTTCTGCTTACCCTGAATTTCTGCAAAGCTGAATGGTGAGAACAATCCTGAGAGATTCACAAGCAGGACCCAATAAAAATACAGCAAATTTTTTTCTGTGTGGAGGGCTGGTAATGTCTCTAAAAACTACTATTTAACACCTGTATGTAATACTTTTATATTCCATGAACTTGAAGGAGATTGTCATCATAGCCTTAATGTCTGGAGTTGGAAGGTTAGCTTAAGGCACTGACATGTCTCTCCCAGTTAGGTTCCTCCAGTAGCTGTTCCCATGAAGACAGTGTTGATTGGTGGTAAAGATGACACCATATCCCTGCTTGGTGGGCCATGGACCTCCAGATTTTCCTGAGAAGGGAACTGACCAGATGTTCCATACATACACTGGGAAGATGTGGTTTGCAAGTTTGAAGCTGTGGGGAATAAAAGGTTACCATCATTGCAAGTTTTCAACCTACTGAATTAAACAGAAATCATAATCCAATTTCACTTGATGGAAACCCTTACCTACCAGGCACATCATCTGAAGGACAGAAATGTCTGATCTTTTGTGCAAGATTAACAGGTAAGTAGTAGAAATAGGTAATCTTGTGGAGAAACAAACAGTGTCCTAGGTTTTATCTTCTATGAAACCCTTTTTGGAATGTGAGATCAAGCTCAGCTACCATTTGTTTAAGGCATATACCAAAATAAACCCTTTGGGGTTAGGTATTTACACCTAAAATTCACTGTCAGTGGGAGCGTTGCCTAATACACAGTTGTTAAAGCATTGACAGAGACTATACCACAGGTAGTATAGACCTAGACATCCCTGACCGTTTGATCTGTTTGACAGTGAGGATCCTTAAGAGCACTTAGAAAAGCCCAGTCTGTTATTAATTCACTTAATAGTTAGAAAGTGTTTCCTAATATGGATTTTTCTGCAATTCAGGCCAGTTATTCCACTCCACATGGACAATGGATCATAGACATTTTGGGAGCAAAGAGTTATTAAACTCACTGTCCTGTCCTTTTAAGGAAAACATGTCCTATGATACATCCTAAATACTGAGCTATTTAATTTCTATATTGCATCTCATATATTATATGTGTGAGCTACAGTTTAATACTCAGCACTTGTTAGGATGCTAAACAGTTCATAGCTGTTCCTCGTTGTTGGCTGTACTTACGCATAGGAGTCCGACAGACAATTGAAGGTGAGGACTCTGTGTAGTATGAGCCTGTTTGTTTTCTTCCGCTATCATCCAAGATATTCAGTGGATCATGTATATCATTGTATGATGGCAGTGATCGAATGCTGCTTACACTGCTGATTACAGAAACATGTTGATCCACCATTGATCCAAGTCTGTGAGATTCTGAATAATTTATGCTATTTCCATAATATCCTATTGACAGAAGATTGAAAAAAACACAGAGTGAAACTACTGTTGAAGAGAAAGGATAGGGGAGGAGTCTTTGATAAACTGGGACAAAAAGTAATTGTTACTGGAAGAGTCCCTTGGGAATATGATTATTTATGCACACCTACAGCCTCGTAACATTAGCAACATCTGTAATGACTGACCCAAAAGAGAGGTGGTAACAAGGGAGCAAAAAGATGTTGAAAGTTCAGTCATGCCTTCAGTACAGAATTGCCTATCCATTCTAGGTTCAGAATCAAACATAGCTGGCAATCAGTGGCCACAAAAGACACCATGTGGACTCCTATCCACAGTTCAGTGCTCCCTGCTGAAGCTCACAACCAAGGAATGTATACATGGAAAGAAAATCTGAAGGGTAATACATACTTACTGCATATACAAATCCTTATAAAAGCAATATTTCCATTGTGTTTTTCCTCCAGAAAAGAGAAGTGTTTTGCTGACTCTATCTCCAAAGCAGTAATTTTACATTTGAAGTATGAGAAATATCAGGGCCAAAGTCTCAAACTATTGCTAATGTACATTTTTATACTTCGTTTCACCATCCTGACCCTGTGACTAGAATGGTCCATTATGCTGAACTCAGAGTTGAGCTATCTTGCATCTGCTCTAATTCATAGTAGATATTTTGGGAGCTTTTCAAGAGACTGTTATACCACAAGGTCATCCTGCTTTTGCTTCCTTTGTGCAAGACATGATGATGGTACAAAAGGAAGATTAGCATAGGGCAGCAGATGCATTTGAGGTCAACTGAGGATTCACCAGAGGAAAATAAACCCTTAAGTAGCTTATTAAGCTGCTTTGCAATCTCTGTGTGTAATCAGAGAAGTGGAAAACAGGATGGTATAAATAAGAGCTGAAATACATAGAATCATAGAATTTTAGGGGTTGGAATGGACCTTATAGATCATCCAGTCCTAACCCATCCTTCCATGGACATTCATCTTCCATAGAAAAAAAGCAGAGAAAAAGTGTTTTACTCCAGCAAGGAAAGAGAAACAGAAGGGAAAAGGAAAATATGTATTAATACCATTGGAAGCATTAGCAGGATATGCTCCTCCTGGACATGTAGATACTGAGTTGTTCAAGAAGTTGAAACTCCCAGTATTCAGAAACTGCATATTGTGTGTGTCCTGAGACATGTTTGAGGGACCATAGCTGGAAGGGGATCTGGCACTGTATGGAGACACAGCACAACTGTTGCTGAAGTAGTCCCTGGAGAACTGCTGTTCACTCAAGGTGTTGAATCGGCTGTGCTCTGCTCTGTGGTCGTAAACTCCAGAAGTGGAATGGGCCTGAGTTCTGAACATAGCTTGGTAATTGGAATTGTTCCCGTAGTAATTCTGATTAGTTTGTGACAAAGTCTGATAAAGGGGTTCTGAGTAGGAAGAGCACTGTGAATGTGTCGATAACACGGGACCTACGCTTGGAGGTCTCACAGCCATTGGCCCCTGGTTGATAACACTTCCTCGGCTGACCATGGCTGGTGAAATGGGGGGAGTCATCAGGTGACCAGTGCTTTGAGACAACTCCATCTGACCTGAAATAAATAAACAGTAGCTGAGGTTAGTGTTCGTACTGTGGTACTGCTGTAAAGACACTAACCCTCTAGTTACATTACAGTGTACATTACTATTTGAAACATGTACAAAAGAGATGTGTTGGCCCCCACATATGTAACTCATGGCTTTTAATCCATGGCTTCAGGCTATAAAGCTTCCCTCTTTTATTCTCCATCTTGGAGGTTCCACATTCAGTGGGAAAATTCAGAAGTCTTTACAAAAGCATATGGTCGTTGCCCCTCCTACAGAAACACATTATGGTGAACTGAAAGGATAACAAGCAAATTAGAGAAGGAGGAGCTGGGAGAGTTGAGACATACCTGCCAGCTGCATATTCTCACTGTCTCCTGTGGTGAAGGGGTTCAGACCAGAAGGTACACTACTGGCCTGGTTAGATGACAAGGACACATAAGTTTGGTCTGCTAGACACTCATTTTTGACTGAAGTGTCACTGGGCAGAGGAGCAGCTTTGTTGCGATTTGCTAGGAAGCAAGAGCTTGGTGATGCGGTGAAGGTAGCTTTGCTTGCATCTAGAAAAGTAAGTGGAAACTGTTGGAGGCAGTTATGTATGTTCACTGCATATAAATTCACCACTAGCTTATAGACAATATAGGAGCTGCCTGATTTATTTGTATCTTTGATTGCTAATTGCGAAACCCTGCAAAGTCCTCATATTTTGCAAGTAGCCAATGAATACAAATATTGGTCTAGTCTTGATCTTCCCAGTGGAATTGTTTGTATCATTTTCACTAACCACAGATCTGCATCACAGAGTATCAGCTCCTTACTGAAACCATCATAGTGAAGGTATGAATCAGATTTATTCCCTTGAAGAAAATGTAAACAATGAATTCAAGTCAATTTGCACAAAGAATGAATCAGGCTGGACACCTCATCATAAAGAATTAACAATGGGAACTTTAGAATGTTTGAACTCTTGTTTTTATATTGATACCTGGAGAAAAACATCTGTTATATTCAATAGTTCTTCAGTTTCTGCAGACTATTGATAAAGTCAGTGCTGCTATTCTTCAGTGGAAACCATAATTTTACCTTCTGGTTTAATGCTAATAAAAAATAATTATGCAGAATTCAGTGAAGTTTCACTGGATTTTTAGGGATTAAATCGGACCAGAACTTGATCCACATCAAACTTTATTCTTTTTATAGCAAAGGGCCTAGACCATATGACTTCAAACTGTCTAACTTTGAAGAAGCCTGGTAAATGGAAAATGTTAAGGATACTGTTTTCAAATAATTTTATTTCTCTTCCACATAGTAAAACTTCAGCCATATGATAAACAGAGTTCCAAACTTGCGTTCCAACATTGGAGGGATGTTTGCATTTTTGGTAACACTTAATACATTCCTTTTTCAAGGTGTAATTACATATTTAAGCTTTGGAGAAGATCTGGATTAGGAATTCCTGGCCTTTCTGCTCCTTACACCTCTTTCATACTTCAGCTTGTGGCACTTCAGATCCACCTACAAGTATTTGTTGTATCCAAGATAATTTCAGTGATTTAGTGTATTCACATTCCCACAAAATGTTATGAAGTGGACTATGGTATGAAGGTGGGAATGAACTGCTGAGTGAATGACCACAAACTTTTCAGGTGAATTTGACAACGTTACGTGTAACTACACCTTTGGGAGAACACAGTAAACCTGCTTCTGTTTAAAGTTATGGAAGTATGTCAATTTCTAAAATTACAGGAGTACATTAAAAAGAACCAAGCTCTAGTTACCTAAATTCTTCATGTATTTGTCCAGTAGATTCTGGAGTTCTTGTTCTTTGTCATTGTTGAACTGTGTTTCCATGGCAAGCAGGATGTACTCATCTAGTAGCATGCGGATCAAATGAAAAGAACCTTTTGGAGGAGAAAGAGAGAGAGTAGCTGAGTTATCTTGGTGACCATCTCTCACCACTCTACAAGAAGCCTGTGAAACAAACAAATAATTGTGGACTTTAAATGACCTGGCAAGACCAACAAGGAATAGTGCCTAACTTCTTGCTCTAATCTCTCTTTGCACTGGCCCACCTAGCTCAATTGTTTACTGTCCTGTAGGCTATTTGACCACTAATTACATCAAAGAAAAATACTGATGAAAGTGAGACATGCTTTATACTTGAAGAGGGCACACAGTGGAGCTAGATAAGGCTGAAGTCTGCTAGAATGCCTCTGCTCTATTTCTGTTTGCCTTGTACTAAATAACAGACAATAACTGGTGAAGTCTTTGACCTTATTTCAAGGATACATCACCTTAAAAACGTGTGTCCCTACAACCATTTCAAATGCCCCCTTAATTTTAGAAAACAATGTACCTATGATGAAATGTAGGAAATTATGTACTAGAGTATAAGTAAGTTTCACTTGTTCTACCATCTTCTATCTTATAAAGGTTTGTTCTGAGTGTTCCCAAAAATGTAAACATTCCTAAAGATGGACATGTGAGCCTTAATTTTTAAAAGCCACAAACACTGTTGAATTGTCCATCTGCTGATCCCAGAAATAAATGTGTGGTGACTACCAAATTCCTTTTGCTTTTACTAAAACATATCATGCAGAAGAACTTCTATACAACAGGAATTTTTTACCACAGGTAAAATTAATTATTGAAATCTTCTGTCTGCTATACTAAGACATACAGTTTGCTTCCATTGCCATATCAGTACAAACAGCTTCTAGCTCTTAAATGCCAAAGCAGTATCAAACAGCAGTACAAAAGAAAAGTACTTTTAAAAACAAACGTGACTCAGGTCACCACCAAAATATTGCTAGCATTTACTGTGAAATGTTAGTTTGTAAAATACATTACACAGCATTTGTGGCTTTGATCAAAGAATCTTTAGATTAGGACAGGTTCCTCTGCTCAGGAAATGGTGGAAAGCTGGTAAGTGCTAGCAAATATGGACAAAATATGAGTGTTTTTATAAAGCTCTGGTACCAAAACTTGATGCGTTGTTTAGTGTTAGGTTATGCATCACTCGAGCACCGAAAAAGCTCCATTTGAGGAGGAAATCTTGAGCTCTCTTCTTTAAAGATTTCCCATTTTGCTTGCTTGTCTGAAAGAGAATAGTGAAATATTGTTAGGTATGTTACTTGCTTTCTGCACACGGAGGGGGAATTGAATATGTTTGAGAGTTCAAGGAGTCCTTGACTCAGGCTGATATGGCAGGATGAATCAAGCTGCCTGATTCAAAATATCTTCTTAAAGTGTGTCCTAACGTGGTAAAGAAGAGCAGCAGTCACTCTTTTCAGTGCAACCATAGAAGAGCTCTGTCAACGTTAGATGAAGCAAACTGCTTACTGCTTGGGCTCTGCAATGCCCTGAAGGTATATAAATTACTTCATATTCTAGCATTAAAGGTGCCAGATTGTTCTATTAATATACAGGTGTACAAGGCAGAGAGAAAAATAAAAAATTCACCCTCTGGCACTATGTTATTCCACATAAACAGGGAATAACAATTAGTCTTTGTACTTTTATTTCATCTGTATGATACTGGCCAGATTTTCTCTTACAGAATGGTGTGTTCACTATCATTGTGATTAAAGTGATGCTTTTAATACTGCTCATTTCACACTGCCAATTTGCTCTGGCAGTGATTTGTTCATGTGCTAACATACAGTTGCTTTCTCAAACAGCAAGCAGAAAGAAGCTGTTGTGTGAGTTTGACAGGAGCCACACTGTAGCATGAACAGAAGGCAGACAGCAATGGAAGGATTACATGTTCTGTAAATTATTAGCTTCTGCTTAACTGACCTAGCTTCATATCAGGACTTGTTGGTATTTCTTCCCTTAACCACAGGAAAACAATGCTAGGAACCCCACCTGTTAACTTTAGTAGTACAGCATCACAGAGTAGAAGCTGAATAGGAAAGTGCTTCACCTTTTCTGTCTGACTTGTTTATTAGGAATTGTCTTCTGAAATTGCAGAATGAATTTTAGATCATAATCATTCAGTTCTAAAATAAGTTGAGATTGGTCAGCTTCAATGGGAGTTTTTTTGCCTAGGGAGTTTTGTGTATATATGAGGTCTTGCTTTGGCTCTGCTACCCTGAATTGGCCAAAGCTCCTCACTGTGCTGCTGACATCTGACAACAAATGTTAGGAAACTCAGAGTACTTTAAAAAGAAAGGAATTATCACTGTCTCCATTGAAATTTGGGAAAACAGGTGAAGAAAGCAAAAATGGAATGGCCATGGCTGTTTTGTGTCAGTCACTCTTCTGCCAGCTAGCCAATGCTAACTGCACTATCTCCTCCCCTTGCATCCATTCATTCATATCAATATATATGCTCCCTAAAATGATTGATAAGATATTGCATTTCCAGATAGAACAAGTCTGAGAAGAGCAACAGGGCTACATAAAGGTCTGTGTAAGGAGGATTTGGTCTTGAGTCAGGCAGAACATTTGAAAGGTACCTTGATAACCCTTTGCTCAACCACAGTATCCAACCATTCAATAAATGATTCCACAGTGGCATTCTTCTTTAGAAGGTCCTTCAGTTCTTGGAACACTGTAATAGAGTCATCTACCATGTAAAAAGGAGAACATATCATTGCACAGTATTCTGAATGTGAGAGAAAGCCACTCACCAGCCATATGACAATATTGTAGCATGGAAAGGAAAAGCAAAGAGTTAGAGCAGTGAAGAAATAAGTAGTTCCTCAGTAAAGCAAGCAGACACACATCCACCACACATACATATTTCAATTACTTACTTAAGAATTGCAATGATACAGGTTGTAAGGCAATGAAGTTTTACAAGAAAATAAGAGCAAAAGAAGATTATATTTTCAATTACTTTTAAGGTTCTGCCTTGAAAACCTTTCTAATGCTAAGTTTAGTAGTAAAGCTTTGCCTGTAATTTGGCAGATTTGTAGTGTCTTATATTTCCCTCATATTTTACAAGTTTCTCGCAATATAATGTAAAGATCACTTCCTCAATTGCCATTTTCAAAAAAGTGCCTGAGTCACCCATTATTTCTCTTCTCCTTTTTTGGTTTTTTAGCCAGTGTGAAAGAAGACAAGGTACAAAACAAAAAGCAATTACATAAAAAGTAGCTCAGATTAAAATGTGAATAAGATTATGAACCATTAAAGAGAACAGTCATTATAAAAGTAGTTCTGTTTAAAGGACAACACATTGCTATTCCTTTCAGCTCTTGAAACTGATCAACCTGACTCCTATGACAAAAGTTATATTTTTAACAGAGAAATTGGCTATATTTATTTTTCAACAACAGGTATGTATATGAAAACTAACACCCTCAAAATTTATATTTTACTCTATTCAGTGTATGAATTAGCAGCTACACTAAATAGAAAATTATGTACTTTTTAAAAGATCAAACTTCAGAAAAAATTCCCTATGTATGCCAAACTTTTTTAAAGAAAGTAAACTAGTTCAAATATCTATTACATTAAGCCATAAGGTAATGGAATTTTTGAGACATCTTTCAAGAAGTGATCTGTCCCAATACCTCTGCATAATTAAGACAAAACTTCAAAAGGGATTTGATTGCACTTAGCAACTGACACATAAATAAATTTATCAGCAATCATTTAAAGTCATCTAGCTGGGATGGCTTCCCAGCACAAGCTTCTCATCTGTTAGGACATGCTGGGGCAACCAATAGGTTTTCTTATGCTACTGAAGTTAATGGTGAGGTAGATTAGAGAATGCAGTGTCTGTGTGTCTTTTCTCAGTCAGTCCAAGTAGACCAGTGTGGCATGGAATGAAAGAATTAAGTACTTTAAGTGATACAAATAATCACTGTGGACTTACATTCACTGTAGACTTCTCCATCAGAGTCTGTGCTCCCTGAGACTGCAAGGAATGCCTGAGAACCAATACTATTCAAATCAACTTTCTCAATATCTGACACCATGGAATTCACCACATGCTGATCAAAAAGGGCTGGGCGAGCAATCTGCAAGAGAAAGCAAGTGAAAATGCTGAGACCCTGTTGTGGTTTAATCCCAGCTGGCAGTTAAGCACTGCACAGTCTCTCACTCCCCACCCTGCCCTGGGATGGGGGAGAGAATGGAAAGAATAAAAGTAGGAAAACTTGTGGATTGAGGTAAAAACAGTTTAATACTTTTTTAAAAAATATGGTAACAATCATAATGATTAAAAGAAAAAAAAAACACCAAAACACAATCATAATGATTAAAAGAAAAAAAACCACCAAAAACCAGAGAAAAACACAGCTCAAGAAAGACAAGTGATGCAAATGAAAACAATTGCTCACCACCAAATGACTAATGCCCAGCCAAGTCCCTGAGCAGTGATTCCCCACCAAATTTCCCCCTAGTTTTATTGTTGATCATAACATCATATGGTATGGAATATCCCTGAGGTCAGTTGGGGTCACCTGTCCCACCTGTGTCCCCTGCCAACTTTTTGTACACTTCAAATCTACTCACTGGCAGGGTGAGAGCAGAAAAGGCCTTGACTCTGTGTAAACCTTTCTCAGCAGTAACTAAAACATCCCTGAATTATCAAGTATCCAGTATAAATTCAAAATATTGACCCATACTAGCTATGATGAACAAAATTAAATCCATTCCAGCCAAAACCAGCACAAACCCACACCTGGGGATCACCTGAATAACTCCTCAGAGAAGAATCACACTGTGTTTTATTTTATTATCATGGCTGTTTTAAATCACAGATCAGATGAGATAATGGTTCCTTTTCATTAGACTTCTAATGCTCTTCTAATACGCCTTCCTGTCAGATAGATCATCTCCACAGTATCATCCATATGCTACTTCTGTCTTAATATTTATGAAAGAGAAAACCAAGTCAAGATGGTGTGTCTACAGTTAGTCATGAGGATTACTGTTAAGGAATACATCTGGTCCATGTGGTTTGGCCCTCGAGCTGCAGATTGAGATGCAGATTGAAATGCAGACTGAGCTCGGTTGGGAGCCCAAGAAAAGAGGCTGTGAACTGGCAACCTTTGGAAAACAAAGGGCACAAAATTGGGTGATGCCAGCCAGCTGAATGGACACTGAGACACACAGGAGGAGCTGGAAATTGCTGATTTTTGGATAACAAAGGAAATCACAAAATCACAATCAATAGGGTTTGAAAGACCTCTGAGATCAAGTCCAACTAATGACATAATACCACCATGTCAGCTAGATCATAGCACTAAGTGGCCATGTCTTTCCTTAAACACCTCTGGGGTGGTGACTCCACCACCTCCTTGGGCAGTCCATTCCAGAGTCTAATCACCCTTTCTGTGAAGAAATTCTTCCTAATGTCTAGCCTAAACCTCCCCTGGCACAGCTTGAGACTATGTCCTCTCATTCTGTCACTAGTTGCCTGGGAGAGGAGACCAACCCCCACCTGGCTACAACCTCCTTTCAGGGTGTTGTAGAGACTGATAAGGTCACCCCTGAGCCTCCTCTTCTCCAGGTATAGCCCCAGTTCCTTCAGCCTCTCCTCATAGGACTTGTGTTCCAGCCCCTTCACCAGCTTTGTCGCCCTTCTCTGGACATGTTCTAGCACCTCAATGTCCTTACTGAAGTGAGGGGCTTGGAACTGGACACAGTACTTGGAGGCGTGGCCTCACCAGTGCCAAGTCCAGAGGGACAATCACTTCCCTCTAGTTCTGCTGGCCACAATATTTCTGGTACTTGCCAGGATGCCATTGGCTTTCTTGGCCACCTGAGCACACTGCTGACTCATGTTCAGCTGGCTGTTGCCCAGAACCTTAGGTCCTTCTCCACTGGTCTGCTTTCCAACTGCTCTTCCCCCAGCCTGTAGCTCTGTATGGGGTTACTGTGGCCAAAGTGTAGGACCCAGCACTTGTGATGGGTCTGTGAAGATGGGTGATGCAAGGGACATGCCAGTGACAAGGGACATGCCAACAATGTGGATGGACACAGATAGCGGGGCAGCAGCAGAACTCAGAAGGAAGAGCAAGATTTGCACGTGAGTGGACTGTGATGGTGTAAAAGCCCAGGAGACCTTGGCTGGGGGTCCCTTCTCAGAGGCATCAGTTCAGGTCAGTGCCATGAATAAACTGCTTTATGGAACCAGACATCTGAGAGTCTGCTATGGGAAACCTAGGGTTGAACTGGTAAGGAAACCTGGTCGGACTGTCCGTGAGTGAGGTGTGTAGGTCATCAAGCAAGGCACCCATCATCTCACTAGAGCCACCCACTGTGAAGGGGCTTCAGTCCCAGGAGTTAAATTCTCTGGCATTTGGAGTGTGGCTGCCAAAGAGTCTCATGAATGGTCAGACTGGGAAGTTTCCTTAACAGTTTGACACCCCAGATTGGACCCTAGGCCACAACCATTCACAGTCTTGCCACTCCAAACATCCAACTGTCAGCACTGGGTGAATTCATCTAGGATTTTTGGAGCAGGGAGGAGCCAAAGGGTGAGTGTTAAAATTCCCCAAGCAGATTCTGTATGAATTATTTTGGTGGATTTGAGTCTCTTCATTGGTGTGGTATTTTGTGCAAATTTGATGAAATTATTGGTAATGGGTCGAGAACAGCTGTACAACCCAATCAGCATAAGGCACACAAAAGAGATGTGGTACCCCTCTAAGGCATGAGGTGGTGGGGCTTGAGTGCCTCCTATGACACAGATGAGTTTTGGAGACCCTTGTGAGGAGAGGCTTGAGTCCCTCATATATCACCAGGGGGGTTTGGAGTTCCTCATACCTTGCAGGGGGCTCGGAGTCACACAGGGGAAACAGAGTCCCTCAATGCAAACAGAAGAGGGGTTGAAGTTTGGGGGTTTTTTCTCCTTTTGTTTCTCAGTTTTCAAGTCCATTTTAGTGTTTGAAACAATGGGAAATAAACCTGTCATAGGAAAGGGGACACCCTTAGCTGAGGTTGTAAAAAGTTGGAAGGAATTGTACAATACAGCAGAATTATGAAAAGACTGTGCAATAGCGTTGTGCCAGGAGGATTAGCCAGCTATAACCTGGTCTGGTAGCTCAACAGGAAAATGGCCATCACAAGAAATTTTTTATAAACACAAATTCACTTTTCTGCATCAGTGTCTGGAAGATGGATTCCCAGATCAAATGGGTTATTGGCATGTTTGGAGCAGTTGTGCATGGGTGATAAATTTGCTGAGAGAAACTGGATTGCAGGTAATACATACAGTCACAGGTAACCCCAGCACTCTGCCTGCATTGGCACCAGCTTGTGTGGTTGTGGAGAATCTCAGTGTTCTGTCTCCAGCAGCACCAAAACAAAAGGCAAAAATCATATAACCATAGAAAAAAATGTGTATAGAATTATATGTGCATGCACTAATCTGAAAAGGCCAGAAGCCTTAAATTTTTCACTGTGGGATGTCCAGAATACTCCAGGACAACCCATAGGACTAACTGCAGCAGACACTTAGCTGTACCAGGAATTTATATCCCAGCTAGCACCACCCTGTTGGACAGAGATGAATGCCTGACCCAGTATGTTATATAAAAGCAGAAAGGGTTCAAGGAGGGGAGAATGTATGCACAATGGTATCAGCCCAGCCCACCTGAAATACAAGTACATGATATACAACCTGGGGGTGAAGTGTTAGCAAAGTATTCCCATGAAACTGCAAATAGAACCTAAATGGGAGGGACCATATACTATCTCTTTTGCTGTTAAAATTTTGGGCAAAGATAACTGAATACACCATTCTTATATCAAATGAGCAGTGAATGGTCAGTAACTGACTTTTGAGAATCTTTCATGATTGTATCCTGATAATCACTTCTACCCTATGATAATCTCATTAGCCTTAATCCTGCTATGTTAATGCCTTACAGTGATGTTATAAGGTAAATGGTTAAATGCCTTGAAAAGTGTCTTTTCCCTTTTTACTATGACAGTCTTGTTTGCTTAACCAGTATGTTTGTTACAGGCAATAATGTTGTATATAAGGGCAGTGAATAAGTGCCTTGATTTCTTTCCTTTTAGTATATTAGCAGGTATGCTCAATTAAAATAAAGGGAGGACTGATGAGGAATATATCTGAGTCCATGAGCTGCAGATTGAGCTCTGGGTGGGAGTCCAAGAAAAGAGGCTGTGAACTGCCAACCTCCGGGATAACAAAAGGCACAAAGTGCCAGGTGAATGGACACTGAGACACACAGGATGAGCCTGGAATTGCTGATTTTTTGAATAACAAAGGAGATGAAGATGAGATGAGATGAGATGCAAGGGGTGTGCCAGTGGCAAAGGGCGTGCCAGCAACAAGGGACTTGACAGCAACGTGGATGAACAGAGAGGGGGCAGCAGCAGAAGACTTGGAAGGAAGAGGGAGACTTGTGTGCAGGTAGACTGAGGGTATAAAAGCCCTGAGATTTCTTTGTTGAGGGTCCTCCTCTGAGACACCAGCTCAGGCTGTTGATGTGTTACTGTATCGTGAATAAATTGCTTTATGGAATTAGACATCTGAGGGTCAACTATGGGAAGCCTAAGGTCGAACCAGTAAGGAAACCTGGTCTGACTGCAGGTGAGTGGAGTATGTAGGGAGTCAAGCAGGGCACCCACTGGCTCACTGGAGTTGCCTGCTGTGAAGGGGCTTCAGTCCCAACAGTAAAACTCTCTGGCTTTGGGAGTGTGACTGCCAGAGAGTCTCATGAATGGCCAGACTGGAAAGTTTCCGTAACAACTACCACCTCACTGCCCAAGCTGTTAGCACTGAAGTACCTTGAAATGAATTATATCCTTTTGTATAATCTACAAAACCATCATATGGAGGTGACTCCTAATTACAGATACCTGCATCCTGACCATAGCCTTGGAGTCCTCAACTACCTGTCACTCCCATGTTCTCCTTTCACTCAAAACTCAAAAAGAAATAATCTCACTAAAGAACACCATGGACAAGAGTGTGAACCTTTGGTAGGCAAGAAGGACCATCTGATATTTTCCAATTTGTAACTAAACCAAATACACATATCTTTCACTTCATCATTTGCTTGCCAATCATTCCTGTGATTGCAGTTCATTATAACCATGGTCTTTACTCTCTTTTCTACTACAAAACTTTGAAGTTTTGGTAAGATCTATTTTTGGTTGCTTCCTTCTTTCACGGTTAAAACTACAAGGTGTAGGTCTTCCATGGCTGAAGGTCAACCTTGAAAAATTATGTATTATATCTCATAGCCATAAAGGTACACTGAATATAATTGATGAGTTATTGACTGTATAGTCTTATTCTATTTACCTGTGCTAGGTGTAGGAATGACGTCTGTCGTTTCAGGGAGGAAACAAATCTTCGTGCAATAGGCAATTTCTTATCTGTAAGGTTTTCTGGTAGATTTTCCAAAGAGGAAACAACCCACTGTTCCCAGTTTTTTGCAAAATTTCTTATATCTGCTAGTAAACTATAGGGAAAAAAGTGTGGTTTAGAGAATCATCAATAATAATTCTGTTGCATTAGTGTAAATAATTGGGTTTCAATGTATGACTAACAGACTCCTGGACATATCAATGAATTACTCCTCCAGCATTACCAAAAGGAAACAGGAAAAGACCAATAATTAAACTAAAATTGACTATATATTGATCTGTACCACCTCGGAGAAAAATTGTAAGTCAATTGGGACATTAAAATACTGTATAATACTTTAAGGCTATTCCATAGCTGTCCTCAGAGATGACAGTATTTTTGCCATACATATTCCACTGTTCTAAAAATGAACATGCATATTGAGAAGAAATATCTCTAGGATATAGAATTACTGCTGTTTACCTGGACTATGCCAAAAAAACTAGAATGTAGCATGATTATTGCCAAATACCTACCTTTCTGGCATTTCTTGCATTGTTGCAGGGATGAGTACATCTGTAAGAACCTTCAAAAAGTTAACAGAAAATTATATCAAGCTTCCACTGACCGTTTATTCATTCATTCATGTCTGTCTTGTGTACTTAGATTGCAAAGTGAAAAGTACATAAAATTTATACAGAATAAAGCATATGCATGCCAGCATACCAGTAAAACAAGGAAGTGCCATCACCCATGCCTTACAGCAGGGAAATCAGCAGAAGTGTGATGCATAAACACTTTTTCTTTTCTAGTATCACGGAGTCTCTGTAAAGCAGATACTCAAGGATCTCCCAAATCCTTGAATGCTATTGACTCTTCTCTCTGGCATACTGGACATGGCATTGAAGGCATTCAGAGTTTAGCTGCAGTTCCCTATAGCTAAGCATGATGTGGAACTGTTTTGGTGAAAAAACTGTGCCATCTGGAATGCCTTCTGGGGAATGTTATGGTGGAGGGAAGAGTTGGTAGCCTATATCCCAAAAATCTCTTTCCACTGCTGATGTAAATGATTCGATAACAATCCAATATAATTCCTCCTTTCTTCTGTCTGCTGTGCTGTCGACATGATTATAAGTAAGCAATAGTGAAAGACAGGAGAAAAAATAGCAAATTTATGAACTTCTGAGAAATTCTGTTTTACTAATTTTTTAATTTATTGCTCCTGTAGTATTTCTTCTTCTGTCACATTATCTTTATTACAAGTAAAGTTAATATTGAATCTACTGAGACAGCACATTTAAAGCAGGAAAAAGATTCATAAACTCAAGGTACAATTAACCTCTAGAAGTAAATGAGGCTTAATTGCTCATCTCCTGGGTAGTAATTATGATTCTTGATTCTAATTGCCTTTATTTCACTATGCTAGCTAAAACACTTCTTACTTTAAAGTTTGATAAGTTTTTGAGAAATAAGTATTTTCATCCTTTCTAGATTTTCCCCCCATATTTCCATACAGTAAGAATGACAGATAGATTACAATAAGGCACCAGGGCTAAAGTCTCAGCGCTGAGTCTCTTGCTTTGACTGTATGGTGTTAAATAATGATCTGATCTGACTTTCCAAATGAAAAATTCAAGGAACTTTGGTGGCATTACTTTCCACCCCCATCCTCTATCACCTAATCCTGACCCTGCAACACTCCTAAGTTTCACTTAGTTTTAACTATTTGTGTGATCATGCCATGAACTAGATCAAAGAACACATATGGAAAAAAAGCTCTGCAAAACAAGTATTCCTCAATTTTTTTAAAAACCCAAACCAATTCAGAGTACAGCAGTTTTGCTTGTACATCTAGCAGCACAGGAACAGAAATGAAGTGCAGCAGGCAGGACAGGCAGGAATATCTTAACTCAGTATTGTTCCAGCTTTGAAACATGAAGCCATGGCCTGACACAACCTGTGAGTAGCAGATTGGCAAGTGGAATCACCTCACTGATGTGACACAGACTCTTTGTAGATAGAAACTACAATAATCTTATAAGTTAAAACAAGGCTTCAATTTTCATCCAGGCTTACCTTAGTCAGCCTTGTCAGCGAGGCACACAAACATTTCTTTCAGCTACATTCAACCAGATAGGTCAGGATTTCAGTATTACTGTGCTGCTTGTAGTCACACACCATGTGTGCAGCAGAGCTGAGACTGGACTTCAGTTCTTACCTGTGCCCATTTTATTTCTTGTGGAAATCCTTCCTGATTTACATGTCAGAGGCAGAAAGCAGTCATGGCATCCTGTTATTCACTGTTTTTACAGATCTGTAATGTGGTTGAGATTATCCATGTAGCTCAATGCTTAACTTACCTTATACAGTATTGAGTCACAGACACAGAAGATGTCAACAATGATGGGATTTTCAAGTAGGGGAAGAAGATGATCAGGCATTCCTTGCCAAAAATGTAATAGGAAATGCTGAATCTAAAGGAATCAGATTTATAGACAATAAATAATGTTTTCTTGACTCCCTGCACATGTATACCAAGAATGTGTGTTCAAACAGCCTTACCTCTTCAAAGTTCCCATTAATTGCATTATCAAGGACACACTGACAGTGTGTTTTGTACATCATGATAAGAGTATCTACCTGTTTTGGAAGGAATAAAGAAAGATTAAACAGAGCTTCTCAGCTCTATACTGCTTTAGTGATATAGGCTTCTTCTCTGCAGAGGTAGCATTTAAACATAGAATATAAACTGTATTACAATGCATATTTACAAATAGGTATTTCATATATCTAGGAGTGGTGAGAAGGCCACTCATCTCCAGTTTTTTATCAACATCTTTAAGTCTCAGTGCCGTTGTCAGAAATAAAACATCTGAATCTGTATACATTGTGAAAATGTGGATATTAAAGTAAGGCAATAGCTAGATTAGCCAGTCAGATGGTAAAGTAAATTCACCTTTCTGAAGCCAAGATTAATCCCAAAGAGCAGTGCAAGTTAATCATTAGGCTACTATAGGCGTCTATGAGTGTTCTGAAACATCACCTAGTTGGACAAATGAGAAAATAGCTGCCAGTCATTTGGTCAAAGTTTAATCACTGCCTTACATGAACTGAACTTTAAAAAGCAGAACTCCCTTTCATCTCATCAGGCTACTTCATCCGAGTGGAGTGTTCCCTTATTTTAATAACTCTGCAGAGGTATCACAAGACCTTGCAAAAACTAAAAATAAAGATAGCAAAGTTTAAAATTTGTAGCAAATGGTAATACATAAGCTATTATAAAATGTAAATTATTTTAATGAAAGAAAAATGCTAGCAAAACCATACTTATGGTCCAGAATCACAGAAGGTATGCCACACCTTGTGAACTTCTCCAGCAAACCACTGTCAGGTTTTGAATGAACCTAGTACCACCTTATTGCAATAATTTTAGCATGCAGATTTCTTTGAAAACAGACTTTTCTGACTTTCAGAGCTGCTTCTGTAACTATGTATCTTTGAAAAACAATGGCAAAGTGTGAGATTCAAGAATTTAAAGATTTTTTAAGGGGTTGAATTTTAAGGAGGCTAAATTGATGAGTTCATAATGTGTATCTAAAGGTTTCTAGCACAATTCAGGGATGTAGCAGCCTGTAATGTGACCAGAAACAACACAGACATAACACACAGGCAAATATTCAGAGATAAAGCCTATGAAAGCAACACTTCTAACTGAGCATTTATCCTTAGGATGAGCAACATTGAGTATTGATTAGAGGAATATGATTTTACTAATTTCAAACCACCCAAACATGTTCAGTCTTCAAACAATTAATGAAAGAGAGTAAAGTTCATCTAATTATTTGTTGTGAGTTATTTGTTCTGATCTAATCAGAACAAAATTTGCCTTAAATCCAAAGGCATTTGGAAAGAATACAACTCTCAGTTATTTGTTTGTTTTGCTCTCCCCGTCTTACATACCATCAGTTTGTAAAATACTAGGTCAGTTAATAGGTAAATAATTCAACCACCTTTCCAGTGGAAAGCCAGTTAATCGGTGTTAGTAAAGGTTTGCCCCCTCTATAAATCAGTCACCTCTGTTTGATTATGGACATTTCTGGCTCTTTCATGTCAATACCTCAAAGGCTAAGATATGAAGAAACATTCTGTGGCAATTTTTGATGTGTAAGTCAGAAGAGAAGTAGCTCACATTTTACCTTGTCTTTAGAAATACATCCTTGAAGCAAAAGGTGTTGAGCACTTGGAAACTCTGGGAGGAGAGTTCCAGTTTTGGAACTCAGAGAATATTTACGAGTAAAACCACCCTGAAATGAAAGGGAAAGAACAGGAACATTGAAATAGCTAATTTAGATGCAGCTGAAACCAACAATTCATGCTAAACCTGTATATTCTCTTATGAGTCTCTCAACATTCCAGAACATTTGCGTTCAGATAATTCTTTCAAAATACTGATGGTTATCCAGATCTGAATCCCAGTTAAGGAAGCTAATTAACTTTGTGTCTAGATCTAAACTCCACCAAATGTAGTTTTCAGAGTGATGTAGATTTGAGACACATTACTTCGTGAAATCCTACAAGCTTTGGATTTAATCTATGTTAAAAAACTAAACTACAATACTACACTCCTCTACAGTATGGACTGTGATGTCTTCAAGAATATCCTGTTTTATTTAATAAGTATCTTTCTAGTGCAAGAACCTAGGGTAGTGGAGATATTACTGTTCTCCCCTGTTCTCTTCCTGCTCTGATAGCACAGCAATAGTGATTTCTGCTTTTTTTGCTATGGCAACCATGATTTTAGTTTATCATAAGGTTTGACAACAGTTTTGATAGAAGTTTGTTACAGATGTGGTGGTATGGACACTTCTGTACTAAGTATTTTTAAAATAGCTCTCAGTGATTGTGGCAGACTTGACATGAAGCCCCAGTTTTATATCTCTTTAAGAATGTCATGCCTAGCCATTTAAGTGTTCTCTACTTCCTTTGTTCTCCTTGTTACTCTGTGACATGGCCAGTGGTGACCTAGAGACAAGGTAAATTCCTCCTGAATTATGCTAAATTCTGCTGAGAGTTTCTCACAGTTCTTAGAGTTCACCTCTTAAGCCTCTGTAGCTTGTGACATCTGAAATGTTGTAGACACACCTTGTACTACTTACAGACTGAAAAAAGGTCTTTCAGTGCATCCTGTAGTCAGTGTACAGAGCCACAAGTAGACCTTGTGCATATTCCTGTGGTAAATCCATTACTTCTGTGCAGATTCACCCTTTGTACTAATGGATGGAATTTATGACCATGCATAAGGCATTTGAATAGTACTTGGAGTGACCTCTTCCTACCCACTTGCTACAGTTAGATTTCACTCAAGTGGCAATAGTAGTTATACAGTGCAACATAAAGTGCACAAATGGGACTATTTTTCTGTAAATGGCCAGTTTCTGAATTCTGTAACTGACTTATTCACCATACATATATTCCTGTTTTCAAAGGGTGATGCATCTGCCAAAACAGACAGCAAGAAACAAAAGCATACATAAGCACATTTTATCTGTGCTATCTACAATTCAAATACATATAAAGCTCCAAATGAAAGAAATTATAGAAATTTTGAAACATTAGTACTTCTTTGTGTCAATAATTCTGCAGTGTTATAATTGCCTATAAGGAGGGGTTTTGTGGGTTGGGCTTTTTTTTTAATAATAGGAGTAATCTTAATGATTTTATTATGCAATTAGCCATGAAATATATTAAAAGCTCTGATTAAAAGAGATTTGTTCATTTAAAAGAAGCCAGTGATGGTGGTGGGAGGTTTAAGAGAAGATAATCTGCAATGTTTTTTACCTTGCTAATGGACTTATATGACTGTGCCTCAGTACTAGGCTTAATATTTTAACCCACTGCCACTTGCCCTTTCAATTTAATGCCATCTGTTTCTAATGGCCATTTAACATTAAGATAATGACAGTAATATTATCTGCCTAATTAACCATGCAGATGCTAATGGTGCACTAACTGGTTTAGATAAAAGAATTTGCTGATATCTCCCCCTACAGAGAGAATACTAGAAAATGTGATAAAAACATACCAGGAGTAAACAGTGTTCCTGGCACTCAATAAGTGTTCATTCAAATGCCATTTACTCAGTATATTTAGACAATCCGTGCTTTAACATCTTTTCAATGTCTTTATGTTCCTACTAAGAATTGCACCTTATGCAATCATTGCAAAGCTTTCTGGAATACCTAATTGCATGGACTTTCAAGCAAATGAATACGGATATACCTATAAACTGTTCACTTTAATGGGAAGTATGATGCCAAATTTTCAGTACACTGACATTATTAAAATTCAGTTTTGACCATAAAAGACTTTATTCTTTCAAGACCTGTCTGAATAATCTCAGACAACACAGAGCCCAACAATCAAAAACTCATACTGATGTGCTCTTTCTCCCTTATTTCCACAACTTATCTGTGAATCTTTGGTTTTTTTCTGGAAGGATGGAGGAACTTTGGGGCAGAAACAAGACAGATTTATGGGATTTTTAATTCCCAAACAGACTGGGATTGCCACGTCAGAGATGGAAGTAAATATGCATTCATTTATGCCAAGAGAACCAGATATTTTCTATCCCAAAACTCTGAAAGAATGAATGCTGTAGTAGTGTTCATGAATTCTTGAATAAGATGGGGATATCCCAAGGCATAGCACTATCCTTTTTTTATAAGATAGCTCATTATCTGAACTGGAAAAATGCAGCATATCTAAGCTATCTGAACCTCACTAAAATGCTTGGCATAGTGTCACAATGGGAAACGATTAGTTATGCCAGTGAGAGTGCGGATTAGTACAAGAATGTAAAAACATTTGAGAAACTGACTCCAGCTGAAATGCTAACATGTTGTGTTGACAGGGAAACTACTGGGTTGAAAAGGGATTGAAGTGAATATCCTCAAAGATCAGAGTTGGGGCTGATCTCGTTCAACATTTCATCGATAAAATTGGCTGACATGAGCTAATGAAATCATCAACAGAGGAAGACCAAGAGGTCATGTAGAAAGATCTGGATGACTTTGAGATAATGGCAATAAAGGGGATGAAAATCAATAGAGCAGTCTCAGGGACCAATAAGAATGTCTGCTATCAGCTAGGAGTTGCTTATCTGGAAATGAAAAATGAGGAAGACTTGCTGTATATCAGTTGATCACAGAGGGTATATTTAGTATAGTAAATTAAATGGTGTCAGGAACATTCCCAGGCAATACTGGAACAGTATTATTCAAAAGGGACTCTGGCACTCTCTTGGGCTATGCCAATTAGCTGTATCCCAAATGATTTCGAGCCATGCTTTAACAGGTACTGCATGTTAGGGACTTCTCTCTGTGGCAATGTGGCTGAGATGTGCCTATGTTCTTCTGTAGGTTCAGGAGTTTAATAATATGCATGCAGGATATTCCACGGCAGTTGAACTCAGTGTCAAAAAACAATATTGGGAGCAACTCTTAATTCTTAGTGTATAATAATCCATAATTTTTTAGAATAATATGGCCATAATGATCATGAGTATAACACATCATACAGTAGTGAAAATGTGGGCTACTTGGGGAGGGGAGAAAGAGAACAAAGACCAACAGAATCAGAAGGGATATTTCAAATAGAAATTGGAAATATGCCATTTACAAGACTTTATATTCTTTCTTACTCTAAAGATATTCAAATCAGAGCAAGTACGGTGAAAGCTTATAAGGCTGATCAGAGGTTACTAAAAGCTGCTGTTTGTCCCATTCAGCAAGCAAAAGCAGCAAAAAGACATACCACAGCAAAATGTCATGAAGAGCAAAAAATAGAGAAAGGCAGTCCCTAGCAGGAGGCATAAAATTTCAGTTTATTAAAAAAACCACCTTTTTGCCTTCAAGTCAGACAAATGAAATTCTGAAAAAGCCCTCCTGCAAAAGTAACATATACAAAAAATTAGGCTAGAGCTTGATCCTTTGCTTAAGAGGGTCTATTATGAACATCTGTGGTTATGGGGAACTGGATTGCAACAGGAACCCCAGAAGGTGTTCTCCAATCTTATTTTTCTTTGAATATTTAGAGGAGCAAATACTCAGCTTCATGAAAAAATGTTATACAGTCTAATATTGAATGAAAAATACTGTTTCGATTTTCCAAGAAATTAGTGTGAACAAACCCACAGGTCACATGTTTGGATTATAACAGAAGTAAAAGGAAACAGACTACAACACTTACCTCATTCTTTAACTTGCTTCCAGAGAACCTGTGAAAATAAACACATTTGATTATTTTTTTTCCTAAGCAGAACATTTGTAGAGATTATATATATATATACATAT